GATGTGTTTGTAGGATCTCGGATGTGTTTGTAGGATCCCAGATGTGTTTGTAGGATCCCAGATGTGTTTGTAGGATCTCGGATGTGTTTGCCCTCTCCAGATCAGCAGTTCTGGCAGGAGGCACTTTTCTTCCCTGCCAAGCTGGCTCATGCCATCGATGGCTCTGCATCCCTGCATCAATGGCCGAGGTCTGACTGCCCTTCAAGAAGAGCCTCTCTGCAATGAGCTCTTATGGCCAGCATCGTCTTGGCAGAGCTCACACAGTATTGGCTTCATGGAACTGGCATTACACTGCAAAAAGCAATGACTGGAAACAGGCCGACGTGCCTGTTGGCTTGTGTCATGTGCAGGGCTTGAAGCTTGGCAGAGATTATGTAGAGGTCAGGAAAGTCAAATGTCTGGAACCAGGGAGATAAAATCTGTCCCTTAGGTACAATGGGGAAAGCAGTGCCTGAGAAATGTCTATCTCTTCCCATTCAGCCTAATTTCACCTTCTGTGCATCTGTTTTCCCTGAAAGTGGCATTAATTTGTGAAACTCCTTGATTGACAGCGTAAATGATGAAACTTGCTCCAAAAACCGGCCCAGATGGATTTGGGGATGCGGTTATTAAGAAGGGAGAAAGCACATCCAGACTAGGAAATACCCGAGCTTCAAATTATTGGAAGATGGACAAGCACTCAAGGGAAGTATGACAGGAATCAGCTCCTGCCTCCTTCCCTACAGGTCTGCTATTGGTGCTGGAAATAGGAGTAAGGCTGAATGGAGCAGAGCCACAGAATTATTAAGGTGGGATAAGACAAGGCTGGAACTTCACCAGGCCACCACGATCTCCCCAGTATGAGGGATAATGGCTGGGCAGCCCGTTCACGACCCGTGAAGGCCTCGTGCTGGAGGTTTGTGTACGTAGGACCCGCGGGCATCGTCCCCCCGCACACTGCATGGCGCTGCCAGGGCTCGGGGCTGATGAGATCCCACCTCTTCTGGCACTGACTTCTGGGGAGCCCAGCAGGCAGAGGAGACGGCTGTTGTGGTTCCGAGTGGGCAGAAGAATGGAAACGTGGAGCTTCCAACCCGCCTTGCTCTCTCACCATCAAAGAGTTCTTCATTTCCTCTCGGTGCGTTGGTCTCAAGAGCCCCAGGCAGGCGCTGGGGAACGCCGTGCCCTCAGCACCCAGCGGCCCAGCACTGCGAGAGAGAGCCAAGGACAGGAGCTGAAGCAGCCCTGAACATCCCCTCCTCCTCCCCCCCTCACCCGGGGGCTCTCAGGGGCTTTGCAGAGCACAGAAAGCAGCCGGCCCTTCCGCGCCGCGCCGTGCAGACGCACCGCTCTGCCTTCCAGCCCCTCCGGCTCACAGCCTCTGCTTGGGCTGCACAGCTCCGCCGTGCTGCTTTCCCCCAGCCGGGCCGAGGAGCCCCACGGGTCGGGCTCTGCAGTGCTGCCCAGATACCCATCGCAGGCACCGGCTGTGGAAGAGAGCTTCTGGTAGCGCATCTGTTTGCTGGGATGGCTGCACCTGGGGAGCCAGCGCCGGGTCCAGACGCGCGTCAGGCCAGAGGTTGGTGTCCGCGAGTGCTTCGTGTCTGATTGCTGCCTGCTCAGCCCAGGACACAGCCCTGCGCGGAGGGGAGGAGGCAGGGAGGGAGCTGCTCTCCGTGCTCCGCCGCTGAGCTCTTCTCTGCACTCGGAGCTCAGACCTGCGGGTTGTTACCCCTCTACCCCTTCCCTGGTGACAGCAGCCTGGGTACCCACAGCATCCCTGACTCCGCTGCAGGGTTTGTATTTCCTTCAAGCTTCTCCTGACAACAGAACACCTAATTGTGCAGGCTCCACATGTGAGTGACTGAGAGAATGAAGACGGAGTGGGGAATGGCGTTGTCATGGCTGTGATGAATGTCCCAGGCACCTTCTGACACCAGATCTCACCTTGCACGTTTGGAGGAGCTCTGTGTAGTGCACGGTGCAGGGAGCCAGGAGCACTCAGGAGCAGAGCCCGAGCGAAGCTGAGTGCTGAGCATCCCCTCCTCCCACTGCTGACTCCAAGGTCTCAGCTGGGCGGTGGTGAGCAGCCAACAAAGAAACGTCTCCACAAGCAATGGACTGAAGGAGACTGCTGCTGAGCGCCGGTGGCACAGTCTGAAACTTGAAGAGCATCTGAAGTTCTTGCCATCCAACAGCCCCATTTCATCAGCAATTTTGCTCCGTTCCCTTCTCTCTTCTCCTGTTCCATCACAGAGATCCCATCTCACACACAGCAGTAGCAGTTTGGGTTCCCTATCTGGCACGTGCGTCAGTGCGTTGCCCTCAGCTTTGCGCCCTCAGTTCTGCACATCCCATGGGTCCCACTCTGGGATCTTTTTCACATTCTTAAGCACAGAAGCAAGATCCTCCCGCATGGCTCCTGGCCCCTTCAGCCTCCCCAACAGCAGCTCCTCCTCCTTCGTCCTTGTGGGTGTCCCCACCCTGGAAGCTTTCCCCATCTGCCTGGGCATCCTTTTCTGCTCAGCGTACATCCTCGCCCTGCTAGGAAATAGCACGGTCCTGCTGGTCATTGCACTGGACAGGTCCCTGCGGGACCCCATGCACTGCTTCCTGGCTATGCTGGCCGCCATCGACGTGGTGATGGTGACGTCCATCATCCCCAAGCTGCTGGGCATCTTCTGGTTCCGTTCCAACCAGATCGGTTACACCGCCTGCTTTGCTCAGATGTTCTTTGTTCACTCCGCCACATCAGAGGAGTCAGGAGTGCTCCTGGCCATGGCTTTTGACCGCTACGTCGCCATTTGTCACCCCCTCAGGTACAGAATGATCCTGAATCGACAAACAGTTGCCCGGATATGCCTGGCCATCGTGGTGAGAGCACTGCTTCTCATGGTGCCGTTGACAGGGATGGTGACAAACCTCCCCTACTGCCGTTCCCTCGTGGTTCCCCATTCATACTGTGAGCACATGGCTGTCACCAGTCTTGCCTGCGCAGACCCCAACCCCAGCAGGCTGTACAGCATATCTATGTCCTCTCTCATAGTAGGGACGGACACGGCTTTCATTGCTGCGTCCTACCTGATGATCCTGAAAGCCGTCCTGGGCAAGGAATCGTGCAGGAGGGCCTTCAGCACCTGCGGGTGCCACATCTGTGTGATGATGCTGTACTACATCCCCGGCCTGCTCTCCATCTACATGCAGCACTTCAGCCAGGCTGTGTCTGTGCGTGCACAGGTCCTGCTGGCCGATCTCTACCTCACCCTCCCCGCCGTGCTGAACCCCATCATCTACAGCATGAGGACCAGGCAGATCCAGAAGGCAGCGCTCAACCTGCTGCGCCCCAGGAAGGCTCACGGCCATCACAGCGCTCGGTGACTTCCCAGGGCTGTGGACCCACACAAACACAGCCCCCGTTCCATTCCCAGTGGATGCAAGCAGGGAACGGAAGCCATGAGGGGATGGGGGAGGACTTGGCTTTAATGGCTGTGTGAGACCCTACAGTGCGACAGGAGGTGTTTGGGTCCGGGATCATGAGCAGATGCCAGGCTGCCATTGCCCTTCCTTCTCACAAGAGAAGAGGTGCAGTCACTGGCTTTGGGTTTTGAGATGTTCTCTGTGCTGTGAATGTCCCTGTGATGGTTTAAAATTCACAACTGCACGTGTCTTTGTGTCAATAAACAGATTCTATTCAAAATGGGGAAATTTCTTCTACGGCGTCTTTTGGACTCAATGCAAACCTATCGTTGCTGTCAGCAGGAGACTGTCCTACATTGCAGGGACTGTAGTCAGTCAGTTCCTGTGGGATGTGTAAGATAGATGAGTGAGAAATCATCATCTAATCTTTAAGACTGGAAAAGACTTCCAAGATCCCAACCCAAACCCCAACCCAACCTCACCCCACCCCCACCATACCCATTGACCACAGCGCCACGGTTCCGGAATGCCTCCTGGGACTCCTGAATAAGGAATCATAGAATCATATATCATAAAATCACAGAGCATCCTGATACACAACCTCAGACTCCTCTGTTATTGCTTCATGCCATTCCCTCTGTTTCTATTGCTGGCTCCTCCTTGTTAGGTAGCCACATGCTGCCACGAGGGGCTGTAGGGCTGTGGGGGGCTGTAGGGCCGTGGGGGGCTGTAGGGCCGTGGGGGGCTGTAGGGCCATGGGGGGCTGTAGGGCCGTGGGGGGCTGTAAGGCCACGATCCTTCCCTCAGCCTCCTCTGCTCTGGGCCAATCAACCCAAGCAACCTCAGCACTCCTCACACCCCTTGCTTTCAGACCCTTCCCCATCTCCATAGTCCTTCTTTGGACACTCTCAGCATTTTAAGTCCTTTTCGAACCGTGGTGCCCAGAACTGCACCCAGTGCTGGAGGTGGGGCTGCACAGCAGAGCAGAGGGGACAGTCCTCCCCTTGCCCAGGGGCGCTGCTGGGCCCAGTGCCCCTCAGGGGACGCTTGTCCTTCCTGCTGCCTCACACAGGACACACAGGGCACACAGCTGGCTCTTGTTCAACTTGCTGCAGAGAGCCCCAGGCCCCTTTCTGTGGGGTTGGGGTTGCTCTCCATCCCCTCATTCTGCTCAACAGAGCTCAGAGCGCTGTGATCAGCAGTGCAGGGTCTGGCTGGAGGCTGTAACTAGTGGTGTTCCCCAAGGGTCTGTGCTGGGTCCGGCCATGCTCAACGTTTCCACCAGTGACCTGGATGAAAGGATGGGGTCCCCTCTCAGTTAATTTGGTGATGGAATGAAGCTGGGAGCAGCGTGTGACAGCCCAGAAGGCTGTGCTGCCAGTCAGTGAGAGCTGGGCAGGATGAGAGCTGGGCAGGGAGGAACCCAGGGAAGCTCAACAAGGACAAGTGTAGGGTCCTACACACGGGGAGGAACAGCCACAGCATCAGTGCAGGTCTGTGAGATGGAGAGGAGCTCTGCGGACAAGGACCTGGGGCTCCTGGTGGACAACAGGTGACCGTGAGCCAGCAGTGTGCCCTGCGGCTGAAAAGGCCAATGGGATGCTGGGGTGCATTAAAAAAGAATGTGGCCAGCAGGGCGAGGGAGGGGATCCCCCCCCTGTACTCCTGTGGAACAGCACTTCTATGCTGTGAGGGGAGCAGAGCCCCAGCACTGCCGTCCTGAGAGGTGGGGGTCTCCTCATTGGAGACATCCAAACACGCCTGGGTGCCGTCCTGCACACAGAATGCAGGGAGCTGCTTCAGAGGCTGGGCTGGGGGATCTCCAGAGGTCCCTTCCCACCCCTGTGGCTCTAAGGGTCTGTGACACGTGCTGCTGCTGCTGCTGCCTCACTTTCCCATCTCCTTTAGCCTGAAGAATAAGTGAGATGTGAGAGAACAAGGCGGGCTCACGCTGCGTTGCCCTGGCACTGATCAGAGCTCACAGCAGATGCCCACGGAGCAACTCGTGCCCTTGGGAACCTCCATGCAGGACTCTCCCCGCTGCATCGCTGGGGGATTGAAGCACAGCCACAGCTCTGCCCTGTGCTGCAGGTGGCTGCGAGCTGTGGGATGTGGGGATGTGTGCGGATGGGGCTGCTGGGGTGGGGGATGGCTGTGGGCACACGCACAGGAGCTGAGCCAGCAAGGGAATGGTAACGGCTGGGGACTTCCTACAAGAAATCGGTTCGGTCTCCCATTAGAATGAAGACACAGATCAGCAGTTGAACAAAAACCAGAAACTGTTCACTGAAAAAAGAAGTTTGTTTCTGTTTCTACAACCAATCTATAATGAGCTCAACACAGCTCACACTGCCCCAGGGGGTCTGGGGTAGGGAGGAGAGGGAGGGAGAGCTGGGGAGGGAAGGGCCGCGTGTGGAAGATGTGATGAAGTGTCACAGGAGAGCACAGGGCCCATCTTATCAATGTGAGGGCTCTGCATCCAGCAGAAGGGGCTCTGCTGTGGTGGGAAAGAGCTGAACTGCAGGAACGGAGGTTGGTGCTGCCCAGGGGCTGGAGGCAGTGATCTCAATGTACCGCAGATGCAACACTGATTTTTTGTGAAGTTCAGCTTTCCGAAACTGACAAAGTTTAAAAGCAGAGGGAAATTAGAATGGGGAACTGCAGGGATCTCTGAGACTGTGAGCAGTTTGGCTGATGGGAAGCACTGCATGGCCAGGATGGGGCAGGAGCTGCAGCCACAACAACAAATGGGGCAGAAGAGGAGTGGGGCACACGTTGGGACCTCCTGCACGTCGGGAGCTTTTCGGTAGGGAAAGCAGATAAAGGAGATGGAGCCATTCATCCTCTGCATGAGGGGCAGGCAAGAGCAGCAGCAGGTCTGGGTACACGGCATGGGTGTCCCCATCCTGCCCCAAGCTGGCACTGCCCCAAGGAGCCATCAGACAGTGCTGTTATCTGCACAGCGCCCAGCCTGACGTCAGCGCCCGCACGCTGCCCCAGCGGCCAACAGGAGATGGGGCCAAAAGAGAATTACAGAACTGGAATCGAGTTACGCCTAATTCGATTAACGGCAATCAGCGGGAAATAGCTCTTGTCAAACAAACCTGATTTTGTTTTCTGATGAGATGGGAAGTTGGGTTAACCTGTGTGTGTGTGTGTGTAGGGTCCGGAGATGCACCGCTGCTGCTCTGTGTCCAGGCGGGATGGCACTGAGCTGAGAGGCATCAGGAGAGCGGGGGCAGAATGGAATGGTTGAGGGACCTCAACGGAAGCTGCCAGACCCAACATCACAGCAGTGGTGATTACACAGGCACTGCAGTGCCTGGCTCTGGGATGGGAGCTGTTCTGCACTGCACTCATCGGGTTTCCTAAAAACAATGCAAACTGCGTGGGGAAAGGCAAAGTCAAGAAGAGCAGACCAAGAAACTGACAGAGCTGAGAACCGGCTGCCCTGAGCTGCACACATGGAGCTGGGGGGGCTCCCACTGCATCCCAGTGAGCCTCCCAGGGGCTGTGAGAGCAGCGGGCAGCACCTCAGGGACACCAAAGGCAGCGCAATCCTGTATGCACAGGGGGGAAATAGAGTTATATTTTAAAAAAATAATTAAATTGCAATCTTGTAGCTGTGTGGGTGGCAATCCTCTCAAGCTAAGCCATGCTATGATTCAGTTCCCTGGACCCATCCCTACAGACATCCGAGCTCAGTGAGCACTGACGGAGCTGCGGGGGTCTCTGTGCACTGCAGGGAGTGGGACGTGATGGCCTTTAGGGGTCCCGTCCAACTCAACCCTATGAACTTACTGTGTTGAGAAGTGCCTCTGTGGCCACACGTGGGAAGGCAGGACAGGGGGCTGCAGCTGGAGGGAGCAGACAGGCAGGGTCAGATGGGAAGAGAAGTGTGTGGCTGTAACCATGGGGATTAAGTGCAGCTGGGGCAAAAACCCAAGGTTCTCCATCTCCAGTTGCACACCAGCCTGCACTGCCTGCTGCCTGCCAGGAATGAGAGATCCCACACTGTGATGGCAGGAACGCCACGCAGGGCTGTGTTCTGCTTTGCTGTGTCCTTCAGCCTCATGAACTGATGAGCACATGGGCTGTTGGCACCACGTAATTCAACCTTCCTCAGCTGAGGGTAGCAGTGGCTGCTGCTCGAGACATCGTTCCTCAGGCTGCAGTTTCTCAGCTCAGTTTTGCCCTGCAGAGCACCGACCACAGCATCGGTTTAAAAACCTGACTGTGGGTAACAGATCCTGAAAGGTTTTCCCTACATTTTGTGGTGCTGCATGTACACGGTTTTATGACCAAAGAAATGGTAGCAAAATCCCAAACTTTCTGTCTCTGTGTTGCAGGGAACTGAAGTCAGCTGTGCCATGTTGGTCCCCAACCAATCCAGCACAGCTCCTTTGCCTTTTCTCCTGCTGGGAATCCCTGGTTTGGAAGATGCCCACGCATGGATTTCCATCCCATTCTGCTTTACGTACATCATGGCCTTGCTGGGAAATAGCACGGTGCTGCTCGCCGTGAGGCTGGACAGAACTCTCCACGAGCCCATGTACTATTTCATTTCCATGCTGGCTGTCATTGACCTCATCTTCACAACCGCTGTAGTTCCCAAAATGCTGAGCATATTCTGGCTGGGCTCCAGACAGATTGCTTTTCAGGCTTGCTTCACCCAGATGTTCTTCATCCACACGTTCACTGCCGTGGAGTCAGGGGTGCTGCTGGCGATGTCCTTTGACCAATACGTGGCCATCTGCAACCCCCTGAGGTACATCAGCATCCTGAGCCAGGCGCGGGCCGCGCAGATAGGGCTGCTCTCTCTGGCCCGGGGAGCTGCTGTCATGGCCCCTTTGATGTGCCTCCTCACCAGCTTACCCTACTGCGGGGACAGGGTCGTCCCCCACTCCTACTGCGAGCACATGGCCGTGGTGGAGCTGGCTTGTGCCGACCCGTCGGTCAGC